TCTCTTTTGCTTTTTCAGTCCTTCTTAGATGTAAGATCAGAGGGGAAAATGTCCGAAGGTGCCCCTTGGCTGCATTCATAAAAACATGCCTGGTCATAGCAGGGAAAGATTTTTCTCAAAGGAAAAAAGCACTAAAGCCAAAATGATAAATATCTGAATAAAAAAGAGACTTCTGTTCAGAGATGTTGTTTAGCACTTGATTTCAGTGTTTGATTAATTGATTAACATACTGTTAGTCATTCAAGTTTGAATATTGGTTTCCATGACACATTGCTAATGTATGATAATGAGGAGGAAAACCCTTTGCAGTCATGTGCACCTGATAGAGCAGCATCAGACATGACATGTACCTTAACTCAATGAAGCATAAGCCTGGAATAATAACTTCCTTCATGGAAAAATATGCTCAATTAGCTGTTCAAAAATATGAATAAGGATGGACAGTTTTCAGTTTCAGTCTCTTGTAAGTAAGGATTTATTGGCTGAGGTCTGAATCCTTTACATGTGTCTGTACTATGATTGCTCCTTCTTTTTCTTCCACTACTCAAATTATTTTGGGGAAGTTTTAAACACTTTTAAGGGGAGGACTGGAAGTTTCTAAGGAAAAGATGAAACTTCTTACATTTTTCAGCAAAGCTATGTCTTGTTTCACTAGGCAAGGAAGTGAATGGGTTTTTCTGTTAGTTTCCTACTGCTTGCCATGAAATAGTATTGCAAGCACTCTAAAGATCCAGGACCAGTGTAGCTTGTCACTTCCTGGTTTATTTTAGAGGTTCCTCTTAGTAGTATCCTGAATAGAAAATTAAAGGAATGGAAAGACAGATCTTTGTTGGTTTAGGCCAAAGCCTGCCTACTGTTGTGCTTACTCAACTCCTACAACTGGGAGGTGTGGAGAGAAATTGGTTTTGCTTCCTCGTTCTGCACAAAAGGATTTGATACAAACTCCTCCATAGTTCTTTGGTTGTGAAATTGTTGCCCTGTTTGTTTTACAAGCATGTTTTTCAAACCCATCCTGTCCCTTTTGCCTTAGGGGAGTCTGGAAGCCAGGATCATAGATAAATGAGCTGATAGTTGAGATTTGATCTATGTGGGATCCTGTCTGTGTGGAAAGAATAATATTTGTTTTTTGTTTGGCATCAGTTTCTAATTGGGAAGCCTGTGCTTTTTTCAAAACTATATGAATTAAAATTAGTACTGGAAATATTTTTGGATAACAGATGAGAAAGCTGTGAGGGCTTTGTTTGGGAGTACTGAAGAAGCATAGATTATAAACAAATCTTTATTTCTGAAACTACTCACTGGAGCAATTTTGTGTTTTACCATAGTGTCAGTTGAAGGCAAACAAACCCCTGATATGCCTTATCCATTGCAATGTATTTTAAACCTTCTTCCAAAAAAACCAAACAAAACCAAAACATCCAGATCCAATAGGTGATTGTCAATCTATGATCTAGTGTCCCTGTTACTGCAACAAATAAACAAAAGCTATGACAGGCTGTGCAGGTAGAATGAAATTCAAATGAAAGGATTGACAGCATACAACAGGTTTGTAATTGGGCTCCTCTGTCCTAGTGCAGTCCAGGCATTAGAAGTTTGCTTTGCTCCTTGCATTTGCTTCCCCTCTCTGGTCTGTGTGTTCCTTAGGCTTGCTCTGTGACACCTCTGCTGTCTTGATGTATGCCTCTCTAAAAGTGGCACTTAAGAACAGCACCTGGATTATATCTTTTATTTTCTTGCATGGAGTGAATGGAGTTCCTTTGAGGGGCCACTGGAAGAGGAAGAAGTGAAGCTCAGACTCTGGATAAACTATAGGATATGGTAAAACTTGCTAATAGCTTATTGGAAGAGACAGTGGTTCTGGAGTGGCCACTGTCCTGCAGGGCACAAGAGGGTGCTGTGCACTTAGCGGATGGCAGCCTAAACCCCTTATTTAGTGTAACTGACTGATGCAAATAAAAGATTAAAGAGGTAAAGCTTTAATATCCTATTAGATAGAAAGCTTTAGAATCTCCTTCCTCTACTCAAAATTGCCTGAAATGTCTGGCAAGTGAATGAAGTTTCAAAGAGATTCCAGAGAATTTCTATGCTGTGAGGGAAACAGGTGAGGTACAGAAATAAGTAATGGCTAAGGAATGAATAAAATTAAACAAGCAAAATGAAACAGGAAATGTTACACAGAGAAAGACAGGTCAGGAAGAAACTCTCTGAAGTCAAAGACAGCAAGAGAAAGGTGTCAGACCATGGCAGGTGGCCCATGATGGCAGGCACTGCAGCTGCTCGTGTAGCTGAAGATCAGTGCTGTTAGGCATTGGCAGTGAAACTCTGTTTGCCTGAATGCTGTGGGAGCAGGGCTGATGTTTGAGAAACCTAAGGGGTACCTATCCCAAAATATCCAGAGACTGATAATAATCACTAGACTCCTGCCAACCCCTTCACAAACATCTCGGACAGAAAAGCTCCACAGATTCTGTGGAGAAATTGCAAACTGCATGTGAGTGTGCAGAATTAGCTGTGATGGTAGCATTGCTTATAGTGCTTCCTCTGCAGGGGGTGATATGTAAAGAATACATGTGGGCAGCTGAGCAAAAGGAAGGTCTGTTCCTTACAGAAAGGAGAGGTCACTTTAGCAAGAGCTAAAGTGGAATTTTTAGGGAAGCTAAAGCCTTGTTCCTACCTCTGCCACTAACATGTTCTGGGATCTTTCACAAATTGTACCTTATTGTCTGTAGTCTCCCATCTGTGAAACAGGCATAATAACACTGAGGCATATTTAAAAAGAAAATGTCAGAGTGATTCTGTATGTTTGATGGAAAAAAGGTGGGTCTGCACAGGAGCCAGAGGGACCCTTAAGTCCTGTGTATTGATAACTACGCTGAATAGAGAGCTAGATCATTACTCCAAGATACCAAGTCAGTTCTGCTTTCCTGTGTTAGGAACAGCTTTATCTCTGACCTAAAACCTTAATTGAGTTAGGGGCAGAAAAATAGTAAATTACAGCAGGAGCAAGCGTTTGCAAAATATGGCCTTAAAAGTTTACAAAGCATCAATTCTCCATGAGAAATACCAGTTGCAGTTACTTGTTGATGCTGAGTCACTGAATCCTAACCATAAGAGGTATTTTGTGTGGTGTTTTGTTTTAATTCAGAGGTAGCCTATCAAACTTCTACTTCCTGTGTAATTTAAAGGTAAATATTTTAAATCATCATCTTGGGGATTTAACTGGGTTTTTGCCCTGGTGATTTATAGAGGCAACTGTGCCCATTCCTTTCTGGATTGTGTTTTAAAAGTAATTCAAGACCTGAAAGACACCTGGAGCACGATGTGTGTTTATGGGAGTGATCTAGAGGCCAAAGATCTGTGAATTAGAAACAAGGTGTGTTGCAAAATGTGAGAGAGAGGTCTTCAAAGGTATGACCCTTCCTGGCGTGTTCATTTCCTAACAGCAGTTCACAGAATTGCTGAGGTTAGAAGGGGCTTCTGGAAATCATCTAGTTCAAACCCCTGCTCAGGCTGAGTCAGAGCAGGCTGCCCGATGCTGTCTCCAGTTGAGTTTTGAATATCTTTACAGATGGAGGCTCCCCAGCTTTTCTGGGCAACTGTTCTGGTGTCTGACCACCCTCGCAGTAAAAAAGAAGTGTTTCCTTGTGTTCAGATGGTTTTTAATCTGTGCCCATAGCACCCACTGACAGAAAAAGAGGCTATTGAGAACAGTCTGGCTCCTTCTTCGTTCCTTCCCAGCAGCTCAGTGTTTCTACACACTTACTGAAGAAGTTGATAATGCTGCTTTCATTATTTGAGTCTAAGTACAGGTATCTTGGTAGGATAGGCTATCTTAGCAGACCCTGTCCTGGATGAAGGATCCTCTGAATTCAGGTATGAAATACGACCTTAAATCAATATTACTGGCCTCTCTGACCTAGGAATGAGCTTTCCAAAGGTGTTTGAGTTTGTGCTCTAATCTTCAAGACATGCACCCAAATACAGTATGTCATCTTAGAAAAATCTTCCCTCACAGCACATAGGTGTGGCCCAAGCACTGCAGTCCCATTTCTGTCTGCTTACACAATGTTCAGAAGGAGGGAGGGATGGAGTTAAAAGTTAAGTTCGCAGCTGGCAGAGGACTTGACTTTCTGGGTGTGGAATTGGGGCTGTCAGAAAAAACACAGATGCCTTGTTGCAAAATCATCTCTGCTGTCCCATGGGAGACAGACAGATTGATTGTCAAATATTTAAATCCTGTGAAAATTTTTTTAAAAATAAAGTTGTTCAGTGTTAACTAAGATTTGATCCACAATTTGCACTTTTATGTGGCTCAGACATTACTGTTGCTGTATTAGAAAGTAACTGTTTTGGTCATTAAAACAGGAAGGAAAAAAATCACTCACTTTTGAGACCATATTCCTTGTTGCTACAGTACATTATACTTCTTGGTTAAAAGATGAGTCATATTTAAATAATGTTAACATGCTTACTCTAAAAGCTGCGAAGGCATCCAGAAACAGCATGAGTGTTCCTTGTCTTTGGGCTCCCCCCTTTGCTGCTGTTCTGCTCCTTGTTTTACAAATGAAAGAGAGAACAGTCCTTAGCAGTCAACCAGGATACCTCCCTGACCCTCGCTTGCATTTCTAGAGGGTATTGGTCACCTTGATGTAGACACATGAGAAGAAATAAAATCATTTATTTCATCAGGGTTTATTACCTGGAGGGCTTTTTAAGCATAAGCTGTTGCTGTCAGAGTCACAGGATCAGGTGTGATTCCCCATTTGCTGGAATATACAGCAAATACGCAAACAGGCTCTCAGCTTTTTTTAGCTCACAAAAGCAAGGGAGTCCTTTGAAAGATCCTCGGTTCACCCAATCACCGCTTTCCCTCACACTGTACAGCGTTAGAATATTCTGACAGTGTAAATCCTCACATTTGCCTCCCTCCCTCTTTCCTTCAGCCACTCTCCCTCCCCCTCCCCAGACTGCTGCTATCGGATCTGTGATGATATGTGATCTCCTGGATACAATCACACACACACACACAAGTACCAGGCACTGCTGCTCAGCTGAGCAAAATGTCTTTCTCTTAGAAGTGGTGCTCATCACAGCTTTCAAATCCTTGACGATGTTGCCATGCTTTCCTTTCTGCCTTCTGCCTTTTTCTCTCTTTGTCTGCCTGCTTTTCTTACCCGTGGGTCATTTTTGCCCTGCTGTCTGTAGCTGTATGGACTACCACACCATAGATTGCCGGGATCAAGGACTCCCAAGTGTTCCTAATCCATTTCCATTGGATGTACGGAAACTTCTTATAGCTGATAACAACATTCAGGCGATACCAGCTGATTTCTTTATATTTTATGGAGATCTAGTCTATTTGGACTTCAGGAATAACTCCCTCACCTCTTTAGAAGAGGGCACTTTTAGCAGTTCTACCAAACTGGTGTATTTAGATTTAAGCTACAATAATTTAACACAGCTTGATGCTGGGATATTCAAATCAGCAGAAAAACTGATAAAATTGAGCCTTGGAAACAATAACCTGGTGGATGTGGATGAGGCTGCTTTTGAGAACCTGGAACAGCTCCAAGTGTTAGAATTGAATGACAATAACTTACAAAGCCTAAATGTGGCAGCTCTAGAAGCACTTCCCTCCCTGCGGACTATACGCTTAGAGGGCAACCCCTGGGTCTGTGACTGTGACTTTGCCAATCTTTTCAGCTGGATACAGGACAATGCATCTAAGCTCCAGAAAGGTAAAGCTTGATGGCTTACAGTGCAGTATGTACATTTCTTGGTATATGTGTGTCTTGGAGGGAAGGAGGGTTCTTGGTCAAATTGTCTGTATGCTGCCTGCAGTGACCCAAACTGCATTTTGGTCAAACTGTAATTGCATGCTTTCAACAAATGAGTCCATTAAAATGACGTTAGTTTCTTTTTGGCAGTGGGTCCCCCTCACAGTTAAGAAATAAAAATCAAAAATTAAGCCCCAATAATTTTGAATTATAGCCTAAATTTACATAGGCAGTGAAAGAGCCTTTTCAAATTCATTCAGCCCAGAGCTGGTTCTCCTCCAGACCTCAGTTTCTCTCTGGTAAATATATTTTCCACAATAAGCCCTTTGAGCAGCTAAATATTCTGTGCAACCTCCTTAGGAAAACTGATTTTTCTCTCATTTAACTGATCAGCTCTAAAGCTGCTACAGAAGAGTTAAATCCCCATTTTATGCAACTGTGACTGTCAGTCCTTTCCTGGAAGTATTTTGTCATGATACTCCGTGTTTGAAACTCTCTTCAGGAGCTTGAATTTGGCTCTTTTCATTAAAATAGCACTGCTTCCAATGTTAGGAATAAATTGAAATGGCTCTGGAATACCCCAAAATGTCGGATATCTAATTCTGGTATTTGGGCCAGTAATTTTCAGAAAAGCAGGGGGTTTGGGGGAGGAGTACTAAGTCTGCCATGTATAGGGAATCCAGGCTCTTGCTCCACGTTTCCCACCCGACCCCAAAGCCTCTCTTAATCCAGCTTTAGCAGGAGATCATCTCACAATTCGTGCCTCCCAACAAGCACTAGGGCGTAAACTCATGGCATTGAGCTGCCCAGAACGCAAACTGCTTGAAAAATAAAAACTTTGTAAGGGCTACAGAGGGTGTGCAAGTATTACCTGACATGAAATTGCTGTGTCTGAGAGGAGATGTCCGTGCAGAAGATTGTGAGAGCTAAAAGGCTGGGGGAGAAGAGCTCAGGAGAACGGGTTGAGGTCAAGTAGTTGTTTAGTTGAATTCAGACAAAAAGGGAGAAAAACACAGTGAGCCTACTAATTTCAGAGATCTCTTCTCCTTTCAGAGTCTGTAGTCAGTTATTCATGTTCTTTCTCTGCTTGTGACCTTGGGTCCCATTTTTTTAATATACTCATCTAGGTTGCCCTAAATATTATTAGCTGTAAAATAGCTATTCCAAGGAAGAAGTCATTTGAGGAAAAAGCACTGGGTTTTTTCCTGTCTGCCTCAGTGAAACTTTCATCTTGATTTTTTTCTAAACCAAACCTGGGCCTGTTCTCCCACCTTCCCTGATGCTTTACCTAAAGTTTGCTCTATTTGAACCGTCTCATACTAAACATCAGTTCACTTTCCCCATGCTTTCCATCTTTTAATGAACTTTTAACTCCTTCCCCTTTATCCAGACTGCATCTGTTCAGTTTGAGAATCTGTCCCAGCCCATCTCTCTTTTCTCTTCCACTCTCAGTGTTTTGAAGCATATCTGAACTTATGTCTGGAAATCTTAAGTGATTGAGCTTTCCCATCGTATTGCCAGTATTCCCCAGTTTCTTGCAAGCTTGGAGATGCTTTCTCACAGCATTTTCTCTCATCCACAGTTAGTTGTGTTTCAGCCAAATAGCTAAAAAATTACTAGCTCTTTGAAACTTCCAGTTAGATTGGATTTGGGAAGATAAGATGGAAAGGAGCAAGTATGCAAATGGTTGGTTTTCTCAGAGCTGTCCCCCCAACATGGCCTAAGCAAATGATTTGCATTTGTTCCCAGGAGCAAATCCCCCAATACCTTTGCAGCCAGTCATGTCACTGAGATCTAGTGCATGTATGCAGAAAAGCATGCAAAGTCAGTGTTCTCAGTGCTTGTGAGCTGCTGCCACAAAAATACTGGCTGTCTCCTTTAATAAATGAGCAAAACATTATTCATGAAGGTGAGGGCAAAACTAAACCCAGATAGGAGGGTTTGTCTCAATGACATTTTAAAACCATATGGCCACAATTGATTGCCTTTCAAAACAACTCTTGGAAAGGCAGTGTAAAGCTAATTCTTAGAATTAGATTTGATTGCATTTTATGGCCAGTTTTCAGTTTTAATGATGTTGCAACATTATACCCATTAGGAGCTAATCACATTAACATTCCTTGTCTGGTTATACTTGTCCAAAGCTATGTTTGCCTGGGAGGAGTGGGAAGAGCAACTCACTGAAAGATTCAGTGTTCAGACTCTGTGGCTTCCTCATGATACTGCTGTAAGGCTGGAGACAGAAGTATCTTGCCGCAAACACATCAAGATAAGTAGGGCAGCAGGCATTATGTCTGGAAATACTGCAAAAGAAAAGGATAGGGATACATATTCAGGGCCAAGAAAAGAGCTTCGTTATCTTGGCTGCATGCTTTTCCTTTATAATTCTGCAGCAGCTCAAGCATTTGCATTGCATGGCCTATACAGATGGGAAATGGCAGGAAGGAAAAAGGAGCTGGCTGGCATTTTCCTTTAAGAATGAACTGTGATTAGCAGTACCGAACAGTTCTATGGCAGATTGAAGTTCCTCAGCTTTTAAATGGCAGACTTTGTAACCTGGGTTTACTGGGAAGGGAAGCTGTGGAAGGATGAATGGCAGTAAACTTGCATCGGTGATCCCCAGCCTTTCATGAAACTCCAAAGCCCTGCAAAGGAACAAAGCAAAGGCTCTGTCCACTGTCTCATGCTGGTTTGGGATGCTTCAGAATGGGTTAGACAAGAAAGGATGTGCCAAAGCAGAAAAGCAGCAGCTCCAACCAGTCTGTGGATGAACTAGGATCCAGGGCTGCAGTTTGCAAGTGGTACTGTAGCATAGCAGTCCCTCAAGATTCAGAACAGGTAGCAAGAAATAAGAGACAAATGTCTGGGAGAAATAAACTGATGGGTAGATTTAGGTTCTGGGCATTCATGTTGATTCCTCACTTTGAATGACACTTAAGAGTTTAATGTGCCCTGTCTGCATGTCTGAGAGAAATCACTCAAGCTGTTAACTATTTACTAAGCCCAGCCACTGCTCTACTTTTTAATTCTAGCATGTTAGTCAAAGCTGCCCTTGTTTTTTTGCCAAATAAATACCAAATTGATTTAAAAATGGGAGTTTTGTTAATGTGAATTGAAATCTCAATAACTGATCCTGAAGCTCTACCTCTGTAGTCAAGGCCTCTGGAAAACTCCGATCTGAACAAAAGCCATACTTCAACTCATTAGTTTTGCAAAAGCCAGGTCCATTTTCTTTCTGGCATGCTACCAAAAATAGCTTGTAAAGTTATAACTTATGCTGACCTGTCTGACTAGCTGACTGTAAAGCCTCTTCCCAGCTGAGCTGCCTTTGCACATCTAATGTGTTGCTTCACATGAACAGCTGGGATTTGAAGCATTTTACAGATCCCAGCATTTATTCATCTAACCTAAATTTCTAAAGAAAGGCTTAATTGGCAGTAAGCGAATAGCCTCACATGCCAGATTTGCAGGCAGACTTATTAAAGTAACTGCACTAAAAGTTTTGCAGTTAAACTCAGCACTTTACCTGCAATCACACCCAGCACTTTAAAAGAGCAAACATATTTTTATACTTGTAAAAAGATACTAAAACCAGCATTTTTTACATACCCCCAAACCAAACCACGTTTTTGCCCCTTTGATTTGGTTATTAATTGCTTAAAACCAAATTAGTGTGTATAGTGCAAAGCAGACAAAGGAACTGTGAATGCTGGTGAGTGGAGAATATGTAACAGTTGCTCTTTTTCCTAGAGAAGATAAAGTGCTTGCTGAGGGTCAAAATGGTTAAGTTATAAAACATATAAAGATTTTCTGTAGAAGAATGTTAGATTTCATAGGCATTTGTTAAGCCTGAATGGCAACGCGGTGGTCAGTGATTCATATTAAAGGCTTCCCATGGAGATTAAGAATACTGGATAATTTTTTGGTAATAGAAAAGTTGTTGTAAGATCTCTGTCCCTTCAAAAATAGGTGTAAAAACCTTTGTGGAAGGCTTTACTCCGTGGAGGGGCATGCAAACTCCCAGAACAAAAAATATCTTGAAAGAATAAAGGTTTAAGTTGATCTCAAATGTATTGTTCAAAGAAATCATATATCTGAGGTGTATGCTAGTATGTTCCATACTTTGCTTGCTTATATTTGATCCATCTTCTTGAATCTTACAAAAAGTTATTGACAAGGCTGAAGTTCTCTAAAGTAACAGAAGAAATTGAGAAAAATATTAATAAAGGCAGGAGAGGTACTGAATAAAGGTAAGGGTGGTTGTAGGTTGAGTTAAATAATTTTGGGGTATAATGTTTCAAAAATTTTAATTAAGTGAAGTCTCAACAAATTTGACATTTTTTTTAAGATCAAGAGTCACCTTTGAGACTTCTTGCATTTTCTGCTTCAGTGGGAGCTGGAAATCCTACCAAAAATATACTCAGTAGTTTCTCATATTTGGAAGGGTTTTCTTCTGCTTTAAGAGCTTGTTCTTTATCACATTTTATCCTGGCTAAAAGTGCACTTTTCCTTTCTTGCCTCATCTCTTAACCTACTTATTTTAGTAATAGTTTGAAACTCGGGAGTCATCCAGAAAAACGTCATCAGTGGTGCACACGACCTACAGAACTGAGGTTTAGGAACACTTCCATTTCAGTGTTTAAATACAAATGGCTTTGGAATAAATTTTGGTGAAAGGTGCTTTTTAAAATTAGTGTGTAGCACTGCAAAAGACATTCCTTGAACCCCTCTGAGGATCTCATCCCGATGAAGGGATTTGTTTCAGTTAAAACACATGTAACAAAGAAATACAAATAGTCTGCAATGGCCGCACTGAAGTGCTCTGTAGCTGATTTTTACTTTCTGTGAACATGCTTTGGGCAGCTGTGCCTGTGACCTTGTTTGCTAATGACTAATGCATTTTTAACATTACTTTTAATTAGAGTTTAAGTATTCCTTGGAGTGTGACTGTAGTGTCTCCT